AAAAGGTGACGGCTGTTTTCTCAACCTAAACATCACCACGAAAAAAGAAGAAAAAAAAGGCCTCAGCTGAAGGCTACGGTCATGTAAACACGCGATGATGCCGAGAGAGAGAGCTGTTCTCACTCTGATGGAGGACACACGAAAACAAAGCGGCTGATGGGTGACAGGGAGCAAGTGCACAGGAGCAAAAGAGAAAGTGGAAGCGAATCGAAACCCAGGACAACATAGACACAACAACAAACACATACGCACACATAAATGCACCTCACAGCTGCTGATTGGGAACAAAGAGCGTGTCAGTGTGTTAAACTGACGATGGCAGGCCTGAAGTCGCAGACGGGGGACTTACCCAGAATATAATGTTGAATCCGAAAATGAAATACTTGATGCAGCAGCTCACTTCGTGAGCCTTGAAATGCTTTCCTGACATCATCTGGATGGATTTTGTTTTCCTTCGCCGCCTCTGCAACGAGCAGGAATCACATTTGCAGCTGTTCTGTGTTTGGCAGTCGGGATCCTCTGGAAACACCCTTTAATAATTTTTTTAAGGGCTCAACACATGCCGCCCTTTCTAGCGTCTAATTATTAACACCATCTTGATTTTGTGCGGATAAAAGTCGCAGATGAAGCCGTCGGGGAGCGTTCACAGTCCGTCGGCGTCCCTCTACAGATCTCAGCTTTTACCCTGCGTAGATCCTCAGAGGTGTAACGCTGAAATAAACCACAGTGAAAGTCAACCAGATTAAAACCGACGGTCTCCTATCTGACCCGTAATCTAGACATGGCTGTTATTTGATTGCCATGTCTAGGAACCAATGATTTCTTTTAGTGATCTGAGAAGGCGGGACTTCCTCCATGAGAGGGTCTCTAGCCCCATTACAGTGGCAGATAGTACTGGTTACGAGGTAATTAATCATTTATAGCGGAATTTATTACCCATTAACTAAATACGTGTATGATACACGACAGGAATACATAAGTAAACTTCATCACAGCCATCAGGCTATTAGGCAATAATAAGGGTATAAGGCTTGAAATAGTAATTCAAGTTGTAGTGGAATAAATAATAATTCATTCATGCAGTTTTTTGAGGCTGCTGGGTATTAAATCAATCAATAAGTTAAAGACTAATAAACATGGACATCTTAGTTGATGTTAAATATTAAAATTAATATATTTTTGAGACAGAAACAGGATTGAGTTGCTTCACCAGACTTGATTACAGGTCATTTTGTAATGCGAACTTTATGCTTTTATCAGAAAGAATTGAAATAGAAAGTATAAAGAGTATAATTACAAGTGTAGTTACAGAAAATATAAATTATGTGTTTCCTTTAGTTACTTGAAGTTTTTATTGAATATTTAAGATTCATGTTTTTAACACATTACCTCACATTGTCTTTTCCAAAGACTTGTTTAGTCCCGATGAAGAAAGAATTCCAGAGAACACCGAAATAAAGCAGGCTGGATCTCATGTTTCACTCTTGTGTTTAAATGTCAGCAAAGAAAAACAAAATAAAGTTCCAGTTTAATGAGACACAAACTGCCTAGACGCGATGCTTCTTTATTGTTTATTTTCAAAACGCACTTAAATTTTCTACTTTCTTAGGCTTAATCTTTATAAGGTGGATGTGGTGTTTACGCCTTTTGGAGGGTGTAACTGTCCCTGCTTTATATTTTATTTACAGTGTTCTTTTGAACTTGTAATTTTGCTGTTTTAAACATCGGTACCTTCTTAGAAATTACATTTAACTTTACAGTAGATCAGTGTGGCATACTGTTAAAATACATTTGGCCTTTATTATAATGTACATGTGGATTAGGGCAAATATACATGTGAAAAAATAAGCATCCTCATGATTCAGTAGCTTGTACAACCACCTGCAGCAGCAATAAATGTGACTTCAGTCTCTCACAGCATTGTGGAGGAATTGTGTCCCACTCTTCTTTACAGCGTTGCTTCAGTTCATGGAAATTTGCAGGCATCGACTTGTGCAGCACTCACTTAAGGTCCCACCTCACTGTTACAGTCAGCCTGAGGTCTGAGCTTTGACTGGACCTTGATTCTTTTCCTTTTCAGCTATTCTGTTATAGATTTGCTGCTGCGCTCAGGATCATTGTGCTGTTGTGTGGCACAATTTGGACCAAGCTTTAACTAGCTAGCCTCCTCTATCCAAAGGAGAAGTCTTGCACTTTTCTTAGATGAAACTTGCAAACCTGCAAGTCTAATCTCTAGATGTATGCTCGATCATCCAGGTAAGGAAATCCCAGAAAGCTGTTCATCTGAACATTATGTTTTCAGCTGGAGAAATGTCTCATCACTCATCCAAGTGAATTCTTCAGTCTGAAGAAAACTTGAAGTCACCTGGATGAGTGACAAAATGTTTCTTTCACAGAGAAAGGGATAGAATGAACAGAATCGGCATTCTTGAATTTGCAAACCTAAACCATTCTACCGTATTATAGAGAAGAGGCAACCCTTTCAAACAATGCCAGACCCCCACCCCTTTTTACTATCATTTAACATGCTAAATGAGGCCTGCTTTTATAGAGGCGCTCGCAATTGTTAATTTATTTAATCAAGTGGATTTGATTAGCAGCACCTGGCTAATGTTGTTGAACAAGTAAGAATGCTGTTAGTTGTTCACATGACTTTATATTGCCATGCATATTATTGGATTTGTCATTTTAAAAAGAAAATCTGTTCACATGGTACTACTTTTGGTATGAAGTTGAAGAAATATTTGATTAATTCAATGACAATTTTATTATTTATTTTATTCACTTATATTGAAAAGTGACAGTTCTATAGATTTATTTAATTAGATGTGGGAAAATTTCGCCCCCTAGTGACTAAAATTGTGTTCTGCATCACTGTAAGTCAGCCTGCTGAAAACCTACAAGAGTGGCAAAAGTGTACAGTGAAACAAGCACTTCTGATCAAGTATTTATTCCAAGATAAACACGGAATAGACACAAACAGTCATTTGGGGATTTATTGAGTTTTATTGCATAAAATAATATATTAATTATCTAATCTATTACACATATTCATTTACAAAAAAGGATCATTAATGAAAATAAATATTTCTGTGCAGTTTATTTGCACTGTCAAAGCAGGCAGAGAAATGCTGAGATCTATATACATGTAGGTTAATAAAAACACATTAAGTCACAGCCAAGACAACCTTCATGATGCAGACAGAAAGAGGCTGCTGCTTTCAAAGTCCTTGATCTGATACTAATTCACTGACTTACTTCCCAAGTATCATCACTCAACAAACCCACCATCATCGTTTCCCTGTATAATTTGCAGCACAGTTTTATGTACTCATTGCATTGTTAACATTTTCCATTCCACCCAAAAGGCTTCTCATGAAGATACATTAAAAATGTTTATCAACAAAGTTAGTAATAATGCTATATCAAAATTATTCACCTTCACCTTTGGCTGCACTTCACGTAGAAAAATATAAACGGTTTATAATAAGAAAATACATCATGTTGTTACAAAACTATTGCTTCAGAATATCACCAAAATACTTGTTTTCTTTGTAAACATGATTCATTTGACCTTTCATGATTGCACAAGTTATTTTGGTTGTTTGAGTTCCCAGAGTCCTCTGTGGGAGGACAGGGGTAAAATGATATCAGTTAAAAGGCTAGAGGCAGATTTCAGGAGCATGTCCAACAAAGTAAAAAAGAAAAAAATGCTTTGGAGAGCTTTGTGTTTCAGGGATTTGGTCTGCAGCATTCAAAATACATCCCTTTTGTATCCTATATGCATTTTTTTTCCTTTTTTGCCAAATAAAAAGAAAATTAAAGTTTTAGCTTTTGGACGGAGAAATTAACAAATCATACCTCCAAAGACTACAACTGCTAGCAGATACCGGATGGTTTGGCATCTTCTTTCCAAACATTTTCTAAAATTGCAAAGCACAATCACCTTCATTCTTCTTTGGAATCCATTATTTAGTGTTTAAGGCCAAACAAAGTTTGAAATATATAGCCCTGAAGGTCAGTTGAGAAGTCTGGGTTGAAAGCAAAACATTCGGGATTAGAGGCTAAACACAAGCAAGCTAATTGTTTGATTAAATAATGTAGATATTATATCTTAAAATGCTACGTTCACGTCACATTCAGATTTTTGGGTTTCTACATTGGGTGCCAATATTAAAAAGGTACCTGGTCATTCACTAATATATGAATGGTATATTTTCTTGAGAGTATTATGCCTATTTAATTAGGAAATATATACAGGTATATATTAAAACACTTTCCTCATTTACTATTCTAAAAAAAAAAGAAAAATTACAGTAGCATCCTTAAAGTAAAACTGAACAGATCTGTAGCAGAAATGTCCCATGTGTTTCTGATGTTGTTCAGCAAAAGCCTGAAAGCACGGGCGGGCAGACGTACAGCACAAAGGCTTTGCATAAATGACCTTTGTGTAACGCTTTAGTACATTTTATGAACCAATAAAGCTTGCTGTTGATTTGCTGAGTGCATTAGCAACGTGACGCTTTAATGCGTGACGCATTAATCACAGTTAATAAATCAGTGCTTTATTGTTTCTAAACATGGTTTCATGACTGCACTCATGAGGTGCTATGTTTTTCACTCTTGTAAAGGCAACATAACTCTTTACAGTGAGGTTTTCTCAGTTCCCAGAAAATGTAGAAAATCTTCTCTTTAAAGAAGTATGAAATGTAAAATACTAACACTTAAACTCTTAAAGATTTTAAATACGTCTTATGCAAAGCCTGAGATACGTTTGTAACACTGTAAAGGTTTCTTGGCTTTGATATTTAAGAGTAGTTGTGTATCGTCTAAAACAACCTGTTGTTCTTTGACCGAGTTGCATAAACATGAGCCAAATACAAAATCCTTTCAGACGTGCATCACGTATATCCTCAAGTCACAAGAGCACCAGTTGATGCAAGATGAGTCACAGATGCTGTGTCTCGGTGTGAACGCATCAGCGTTGCTTTAAGTCACCTTTATAGTAGACTTATGGACGCAGAGTAGGGAGACATATGGCACACAATGAAGGCCCATTTCTCACTGGGCCAGAACATGATGACGGGACCTCGCTCCGGTGCCTCGGTAGCAACATCAAAGTAGGCGAAGCAAACGCAACCCAAATAGGAAGCCAGACAGATGAGGATGTGCCTGTAAGAGCAAAATGATCACGAATAAGCCTAACCTCTGAAATGATTTACAGGCACAGCTGTAAAAGTTTAACAGTGTTTGTTTTCCCTGAAACAAATCTGGGGAAACCTGCAGTCAGCTCAGACTGAAGAAGTCACTTGAATGAGTGACAAAGGTTTCTCCACTGAAAACGCTACATCCAGATGAACAGAATCAACTTTTTGGGATTTTTCCAACTACTTCTGCAGCCATGTGAAAAAAGAAAGTTTTCGCAGGACTCTATGCAGTTTGAAAAATAAAACATTAAAATAAGCAAACTTGTATGGCTTTCATAGGAATTCAGAGGTAAGTAACGTCAGGTTCTGGTAAACAATTGCACTTGATTAACTAATTACCAGTAAGTGTGAACACTTCTATAAAACCAGAAGTTTGACAGTTTGCTGGTCTAAAACATTCAGGTATGGTTCTCACAATGACAGCCAATTCACCTGAGACCATGCAGAGAAATTGCAAAATAACAACAGCTACATCTCAGAACCGCATTTAGCATATCACATGTTAAAGTTCAAGACATTATAATAATAATTATAATAATAATAATAACGTATACTTTATTGATCCCCGTGGGGAAATTCCTCTCTGCATTTAACCCATTCACTCTGTGAAGCAGAAAGTCCCGTATCTCAAAAAAGTCCATGACAGCATGCTGTGGCATGATCTTAAGAGAGCTGTGCATAAATACCCACAAACCTCAATTAAATAAAGGCACACTGTAAAGAACGCTAGGCCAAAGTTCCCCACAATGATGTGAGAGGCTGATAAAGTCATACGGAAACAAGTTATTCAAGTTAATGCTGAAAGGTGGTTTTACAAATTTATATTTCACATGACTTAATTTCTCAAATTCCTCTTTTCTGTTTGATTTACCTTCAGTCTATTGAAGCTACTGCCTAGTTCCCCCTGCCTGTTCCTCCTCATATAAAACACATAAATCACCTGAAATGAAAACTGGTTGACATTTTTTATTCATTTGTTTTAAGAAAAAAAGTATACAGTGCAACTGTAACTGTCTGTAACACTTATTTTGCCTTTTAGTCTCACAGGATAAAATACACATTGTGAATAAATGATACCATTAACACCTTATACAGCACTGAGTTTGACTTTGAGTCGACTTTGAGCTTACCAAGCACATGTAGGTAGGGAAAGTTGACAGATGACCACACTTCGCAGAATATCCTGTCACTGATCCAGCAAGCAGAGCCAGCGCCCACCAGATCCTGAGATCAGGCCCAGCTTGAACACACGTGGGTTTTCACACCTGCGATGACACAGTGAAGAACAATGTGAGCCGTGAAAATACAAATGCAGCCAACTTGATGATTTATTCAGCATATAAATAGAAACAGTTCAATTTTGTTAAAATAGCAATACATTTCCTAGAATTACAGATTATATGATTTCTCAAAACAATCTGAAATATTTACTAAATAAATGCAATTAATCATATATGTAAAGTACATTGCTGCTAAACCCACGTTGGCCACTTGTGGGCAGCATATATATTCATCATTTATTCCTCTTCCTCTTTCACATCCAGACTATACAGACAAACATTAACATTTATTTTACCACATTTATTTGAGGCACACGTTTGCATTTTTGTCTTAAAATAACTCCATTATCTAATATCTAGCTCTTCAGCTGCCAACTCTCCCAATGACATTCACTTACATAATCATTTATCCACTGTAATATAAAAATACTACAAAATCATAGTGGAAATTTTCTCAGTTTAGCAAACTAACATTAAAATACTGATCCTCATGTTTACATTTCTTTTTATCAATAAAATACTTCTGAAAATCTTATTTCTTGCCTAAAGAATCTTAAACCTCTGGGCCTCCTCACGCGGTCGCTTCCAGGATGTACTGGCCTTTTGCCCAATTTTGGTGCTCTAAAAGCAGGAGGATTTTAGCAATTTTAATGGCAATGATGATTGCTCCAGCTAGATTTATCTGCAAATATCCTCATGGATACCCCTCTGACCTAGAGAGATGTGCTAATCCAGAGTGCCACTGCCAAACTATTCTTAGTCTTGCCCTCTTAGGCACACCAGTCAGAGCCAGGCCAAACAGAGTGCAGAGACAAAGAGGGGGACACAGAAGCCTGACTGTGACTAAACGGTGCTGACGATACAGGACTGGCAGTTGTCACCTGCCCTTAGGTCAGTGCATTTAATGGATTGGATTTATATAGCGCTTTTCAAGGCACCCAAAGCGCTTTACAATGCCACTATTCATTCACTCTCACATTCACACACTGGTGGAGGCAGCTACAGTTGTAGCCACAGCTGCCCTGGGGCAGACTGACAGAAGCGAGGCTGCCATCGGTGCCATCGGCCCTTCTGGCCAACACCAGTAGGCAAGTAGGGTAAAGTGTCTTGCCCAAGGACACAACGACCAGGACAGAGAGCCCAGGGATCGAACCGGCGACCTTCCGGTTACAGATGCGATTCCCAACCCCTGAGCCACGGTCGCCCATTTGATGAAGTCAAACCATTAAGAAGCCTCTACCTTGAGTCACCATTGTTTCAAGGTGACACGAATCCATGGATGACACAGAACCTTTCCAGCTCAGCAACATAACCGGATTGAGCTAAACGGCAAACATCACTCTCACGCAGAGGCTCAGGAATCTTTGTAAGCAGACTTTACACTGACAGTGAAAGCAGAGATTAGATTAATTAGCAGTCAGTTGCGATCACACTGACTGATAAAGGTGGTCTGGTCTCAGGGAATGTGGGAGTCATTCAAGCGAAAAAGCTCCGAAAGCTCTGACACCATGAATGTAACATTTGTCACTGACCTTCAGAGCCCCAAAACCATGTGGAGAACACTTATTTTTATTTAAACAAAAAGACACTTTTCCTATTTAATTAATTTACACTGTAATCATAAGCCTGTGGAAATGTGGAATTTGGCCAGTAAGGAATACTAAGGTTGCCAGCATTGGACAAAAGTACTAGACCACACCTCTTAACCTTTGAATTCAGGCATTTCATTCAGTCCCACTGTCATAGGTGTATAAATCAAGCACCTGGCCATTCAATCTGCCTTTACACGTTGTAAAGATTGGTGAAAGAATGGGTTATTCTAAATAACTCACTGTATTCAGCATGAAACTGTAATAGGATGCCACCACTGGATTAAGTCAACTCAGTTACGGAGCACGGCTGACGAGTGCTAGGGGCATAGAGCACAAAAGTCGCAAACGCTCTGCTGACTCATTAAGTGCAGAGCTCCAGACTTTTTCTGGCATTAACATCAGCCCAAAAACTGTGTGCTGGGAGCTCCATGGCCGAGCAATTCCTGTAGATGTAACACGTCGGTGGACCCGTACATTATCTGCATACTGTATGTTCAGAAGTGGATGACTCCCTGGAAGCAGTGAGAAATGGTGCTACATTTTTATTTTTCTACATCTTTTATTTAAAAATAATAACAGCTACAGAAATTGCAAAATTTACCCATCACACCAGAATAAAGATTTCTTATTTTAAAGTAAGTGCGCTGGTGACCTGAACTGGTAAACAGCCTCTATTACATAACTTGCCCAGAAAGAGGCAGGAAAAAAGGGTGTCACAGCTATGAACCGCCAACAGGAAGTACAAAAATAGATGGCCAGTGATGCATCTTCCCACTGGGAAGTGGGTCATTAAATTGTCATCAATACTGTAAAAACTGATTGTTCCAGTTAATCACAGAACACAAAAAGAGTGGCTATACGTCTTTATATTACAATTTAAGTGTCAAAGTGCTTAAAAAATATTAACTAATCGATAACTGTGAAGATGTGACGACAAGATATGTGAAAGCAAGAAAAGAAAGCTTAATATGGGGCTTATGCATTAAAAATGCACAGGCCTCAAAACAGTAAGTCAATGAAACAGACTAGAAAAACACCTGAGAGCACTGCTGGCAAAGGTAGAAAAAAACCTTCTGATTCATTAAATCAAAACTGGGGGAAAATGATATTCTCTTCAGCTGCATGAATTTGTTCATAAAATGACCATAGAACAGGGTTTCTATTCGTATATCTGCACGATTCGGTTCCCTATGGAAAAGAATTACCAAAGGAATATAAGAAATTTTATTCTGAGACTTTGTAATGATGAAAAATGAGCTACAGGAAGATCAGTAACCGATTAAAACTTAGAAGAAGCACAGATGGCTAGTAATCAGGAAGTACAGGGGAGACACAACACTGCTATTAGAGCCACTGTGACGTCCTAATGGAAATTATGCTGCACATAGTGCTTCAGTTGAATAACAAGCCTCTGAAAGACAGACAGGCGTGCCCTTCAGACTTGGCAGATTAGAGATTATGACATGCAGTGCAAAAAACCCAACAACAACCTCTGTGGATAGCATCATTTAAAAGCAAACAAACAAACAAACTTACTTTCTGTCTAGCAAGATAAAAAACAAAAACACAAGAAGAAATTTACTGAACAATGGGGAAAGTGCTTTCAAATGACATACATTATTAACACATTCCCTTGACAAATTAAATAACTGAAAATAAAATGTTTATTTCTAATACTTAGTTGAAAACCCTTTGCTGGCAATGACAGCCTGAAGTCTGAAATCATGGACATCGCCAGATGTTGGTTCCCTCTGTTTTAATGCTCTGGCAGGCCTTTACTGCAGCAACTTGCTGCTTGTTGCTGTTTGTTTGTGGCCCTTTCTGTCCAAAATTTAATCTGCAACAAGTGAAATGCATGCTCGACTGTGTTAAGATCAGGTGACTGACTTGGATCTTCAAAAATATTCCACTTCTTTGCTTGAATAAACTCCTGGGTTTCTTTGGCTATATGTTTAGGTCATGGTCCATCTGTATGGACCAACCAATTTGACTGGATTTAGCTGGATTTGAGCAGACAGCTTGTCTCTTAACACCCCAGAATTCATTTGGCTGCTTCTGTCCTGTGTCACATCATCAATAAACACTAGAGTCCCAGTGCAGCTGGCAGCCATGCACCCCAATGCCATCACACTGCCTCCGCTGTGTTTACAGATGATGTGGTATACTTTGGATCATGAGCTGTTCCACGCCTTCTCCATAATTTTTCTTGTCATCATTCTCACCACTCTATTCTGATCTTGGTTCATCTGTCCGAAGAATGTTTTTTCAGAACTGTGCTGGCTTTTTAGATGATTTTTAGCAATGTCCAATCTGGCCTTTCTGGGGGAGATGAGTGGCTTGCACCTTGCAGTGAACCCTCTGTATTTACTTTCACACAGTCCTCTTGGATATCAAAAGGTCAATCTCCCGAAGAGTATTGTACACCTGGTTGGCTGTTGTGAAGGAGTTTCTCTTCACCATGGGAATGATTCTGTGATCATTCACCAATGTTCTACTATTGTAGCAATTTCTGAGATGGGGTTTTTTTCTGTTTTCGCAGCGTAAGGATGGCTTGTTCACCTCCATGGAGAGCTCCTTGAAAACAAGGCCAAGTAGCTCTCCAGTTTCTACTGTCTGGTCACAGCAAAATCTTCTAAATACAAGAACTACACCTCAAATCAACTGCCCACACCTCCCAATGAAATTGAGTCAATTGTCCAATTACATTTGGCCCCTTTAAAAAAAAAAAAAAAAGGGGTGGCACATGTTGAGGAGCTGAAACTCTTAAACCTACATCCAATCTGAATGTGGATACCCTCAAATGAAAGCTGTGAGTCTACACATTATGTCCATGCCCATTATATAACTTACTTAGAATATGCTTCAGTAAACAAGTAAAAAAAATGTGCATTTTAATCATAAACATGGAGCAATAAAGCAGCAGCAAAGAGCAGCTATGAGAATCATCTCTAAGAAATCCCCAATAAACACTTTTTAGTAGAAAAAAGAAAAGAAAGAGTAAATATTGAACTATTTACTTCATCATATGGACAGAACTATGCTCACTTCTGTTGTAAACCTTATACATCAAGTCAGTTGGCCTGAAATATTTACATAAATTACTCTTATCGAGCAAACGCCCTTTCCTGCCAGCAAATATATGTTGACAAAAACGTCACCACATAGCCGGATATCTGGAAAACTGCTCCCATCAGCCAGGAGATTATAGAAGGATGTGAGATAAGATACATGACATTAGATTAGTGCTTCTGCTTTGAGAGAAAGTGCTGGGGAATCTGAGGAGTATAATTGTGGGAGGCAAAGATAAGGGTGGAGCCCTGATGTGACTCTCCTCGCACTCGACTGTACAAAACAGAGGTCTGTAGCATACGTGACACAAAGCTGGACACTAATTAAATTTATCACTCAAGTTTCAGCGACTCCCATTCCTGTGGATCGTTTCAAAGCTGATGAACAACTTTTTTTTTTCCTAAATATGGACCAAAATTACTTGGCTGAACCTTGTGACTCTTTGCCACAAATAAAATAGGTCTTTCTTGTTAATGAGACGTTCAGTCTCAATGGACTAAAGGTTAAATAAATAAAGATAAAACCTCTCTAGTACAGGGCGGAACCTCTGCTTGAAAGAAAACGGTTAGTAGAAAGGTATACCTAATAAAGTGGTCATAAATAACACTGAAGCTTCAATATGTGGAGTCAAAACACCAGTGGGTGACTTCACGGTGCCTACATCCATCTTGTAACAGAAACAGGATGCTTTTATTTCCTCCCCCAAGCATGTTACTATTTAACCTTATTATCTGTGATATGTTCCATGAGCTGTTTCACATACATCAAATTCATAATAAGATCTTAAAACTTACTATAATACTAACAATGTTCTCCATCACGCTCAGTGTACATTGCATACGTAACTTTGCAGTCACTAAAAATTGTGTCCATGATGGAATTTTCTTCTACACCCCACTTTAAAAAAAACGCTGCAGGCTAGTTATAATAGTATTAAAGTATCCAGTTTTGTAATTTTATATACTTCCTCTGCATGCTCACAGTTGACTCACAGAACATGTTGTTCTTGCTGGCCTGAAAGTTGACTTGGATTGAAACCAACAACTAAGTTTTCTGTCCTTTCTGAGGGCAAAAGTCCATCAGTCGGGGCAACAGGAACTCTCTCACACTTGGAACAACAAAAACAAGCAGTTTCAATGGATGACTGGCACTGGCAGTAATGTGAAGAATTATTAACAGGTTGAACAATAGATGAATTTTGGGGACTGATGGTGTTGAGTAAGGGTTATGGGAAACGGAAGCAACGGAACATACGTCCACGTTACTGTGACAGCTAGGAAGCATTAAGGACACAAACACGCAGAAAAACAGAGTGAAAGGCTTGTTGTGCTTCAGGAACTTTCTTCCACATAATAAGTTTGGAACAGACACACCAGACAGTACAAAAAGGTGAAAGGTGGCATGTTAACAATGCACCGACTTCACTATTTGATTTCTGTTATTTAAACAGTTCAAGACTTAAAGAGGTGATAAAGCACATTGTTGATAAGTCAGGTTATCATACTTCCCATGCATCAACTCTGGAACATTTCCCTGCCTATAAAGGCATGACTGAAACAAAGCCAGAGACTTCAAAGAGGACTGCTGGTTTACATTATTTGGGGCTGATAAAAATAAATTTTTGTGATTTATGCTACATCCTTTGATGCTGCAGTCGCTTCTTATTTACCGCCAATGTTATTTCCAGTTGGGCACATACCAGGCGTTTCCGCCAAACAAACCTCTGCCAATAGCCTGATCTACAGCCATCCTGTGAGTCACTATCCGATTGTTCAGTGATGACGCGACGAATCCTACTTCCGGGCCTAAAGTAGCCTGCGTTTAATATGGCTTTTGTGTTGTTAACATGTTTAATGTTATGTATTTTCTTCTATTTGATCTCAAAAAGCTCCTAAAACAGTCAGTGATCACTGTTGACCTCCCTCGGCTTTTATTACCACTAATCATTTATTTAAGCTCAGTTTTTAAAACCTTAGGAAGTAACTACAGCCCAGCCCATGCAGCAGTATATGAATGACTAACCTCGTATTGTGGATGGATTATCTCAGTTGTTCTCCTGGCTGAAGTTTGGTCCTTTTACAGCATCCTGCCATGCGATTACATTTGTTCCTGACCACCGAGAACACTCATGTTAACTTTTATCGAGTGGGAAAAAAGTTAGCTTGTTTATATTATGCTAACATAGCTGTGTTGCTAGCGGTCACGTAGCACATCATTATATACCAGCTAGCCCAACTTCAGTAACCCTACAAACGTCACTGCTGTTTAGTTTTCCGTCTTCATTTATGTTGGAAGTGATAGCAGAGCTGTACGTTTTAATTTGTTTCCAAAACCCCGCAGTCAGGACATGCTATATTGTATTTAGATAGAAGCTAGCGAGCTAACTCCCTGCTAACTTCTAACTCCGTTAAATGTCATAAATTCCGTTTTCATGGATGCCTGGATGCTAAACTCAATTGTTACACCTGGTAGAGCAGAACGCTGATCATTTTATTAAAGATGAAAAACTGTCTAAAGTCTTTCAACTCTCAGTAATGCCACAGTGATCGTTTGATATATGGACCTGCAGCGGAGTTTAGGTCCAGACACGGCTAGTGACGTCAGACTGAACAACCGGATAGAAGACGACAACATTTAGGTGGGTGCTAAGTAACGTGATTGCATAAAACCAAAACATATAAAACAATCCAAAGTTTCAGCACTGCTGGACTTTCTCACTTTTAAGTGAGACTCAGTTATGTTGGGGAACGAGAACTAAATCATTGACTTCACATGGTTTGCGTTGACTTTCACGGAAAAAAAAGAGTCTTCATCACCACAGAAAGCTGCTTTAGAGCCGAGCCACTCATATTTCTGTTAGAATAAAACTGTAACTTTCACTAACAAAGCAGGCTGTCAGAGGGAGGGGGACAATAGCTGCCTAGTACAAGACGCATACAGCGCATGCCACAGGCAGTTACGTTTTCCAGCAACGCAGAGCAGGTTTCAGCTTTTAACACACATATTTTAGAAATCCCCATAAATTCCTAACAGAAAAGTTAGCCTGTATAGTGAAATTCTATCAACTTTCCTGCAGCTGAAGTAGTGTACACTCGAAACCACCCAAACAGAACAGTTATCAGAATACTTTAATAATTCTTAAGGAAATTATGTTGGTTACAAGAAGAATAAAAGAATAAAAACAATAAGAATAAACCAAAATACCTATTAAGCTGGAAGACAATCAGAGTGAGTATATTCAGGAGGTTTTGAGATTCAGGCTACGTCCACACTAGCCCGGATAGAATTGAAAACGGCGTTTTCATCTGAAAACACTCCGCGTCCACACTAGCGTTTTCAGTCATTTTCACAGAGTTGCGTGCCTACATTGAAACGGCTGAAAACGCTTACGTTCCAGTACTGCGGATGCGTGAAGCGCAACAAGATTCGACCTGCCTCTGTCTGCTACTTATTTACTTTCCGGCTCTTTGAAACGTCGCGGCAAAATGTTGAGGAAAAGCACCGAGTTTTTTAAATGGACTAACAATGAGGTGGAGTTGTTGCTGCGAGTAACACAAAAGCATAAAGTTGCAACTGCGAGTGAGAGTTAAAAAATTTGAAGAAAAGTTATCTGGAGCATGTACAGACTGATATTAATCTTTAATAGGGCTTGAGAGCAAACAAAACAACAATGCCCTACACTATCTTAGTTTAATTGGTCACACGACTGCATCACATGACTAACATGCTCATCATTTTAGAAAGTCTCCATTTTGGCTGTCCACACTGCGACGCGAAAGCACCGTTTCAAATGTTTTCCCATGAGCCAAAACGCTGTCTCAGTGTGGACAGGAGGCCAAAACGGAGAGAAAACTAAACGCATTAGTGTGGACGTAGCCTGAGACAGGATTTCAAAGTGGAGAGAGAGAGAGCAAAGCTTTCCACTTCCAGGGGTTTGTTTTGTGATACTATCCCACTGAGCAAATGTGGCCCTTAGTGACATTTTAAGCCTTTTGGCAGTGATCTTTTGTGTGTGAGTGCATGTTTTTAAGTGTTTTTCAACTGGACATGACTAGTAAGGGTTAGATTTGATTGAGAATAAGACTATGACATTGCACACATAACTAGGCCCTTAGAGATACTCTGCTTTATCATGAGAGACACTCAGGAAGGCACCATAATTTGCTAAATAACCATCAAGCTGTGTTAAAGGAGACTTCAAACTAGTGGCTGAGACCACAAACCCATTAGGAACATGTGGTCATAAGTTGTGTGAGCAGTAAGATCATTTCTCACAGACTTCTGCACAATCACACATCTTTTTATAAATCACCCAACAGATTCACCACCTGCTTCCTGTAAGGGGTTTATAAAAATAAACTTTTACTTTACTTACTTTAGGTTTAAAATTTTCTGCATCGTCTTCCCTCTTTGATGCTCAGAGCATGTCCACATTTGATACATAGTCCATGAAGTTTTCTCAGTGTGCCACTTCTGGCTCAGACCTACTCGGCTACTTACACTCATCTATGCTGTTTAAACAAACACACACACAGTCATACTCTTCCGTCTTACCTTTTCAGCTCAGTAATGAGCAGCACGGTACATGGGATTCCCAGAGTCATCAGTGACAGCGAGTTGACAACAGGTTTCACAAAGGCCAGCCCCGTGGTGATCCCTGATAAGATGCCGATGACCACTTGAATCTCGACCTAGATGGATTAATGAACAAAACAGACAGATATTGCTGCAATACTCCATGAACATGATTGTAAGATACAGAGGGAGTGTTTGGATGACTCAGATGTGCTCCAGAAATTATTATGACCCACTTAAGGTGCACATAACAAACACGCTCAGCTCTAATCAAAAGGCTGGGCAAAACAAGTAGCAGCCTGAAGTGAGAGCAAGCAACTGTGACAGCTTGGTGACAATGCAAGGAGAAGTAAAGACATGTGATGCAGCTTTTACTGGTGTCAGCTATCTTAGAAAGGACTATTATTAAACAGGAGTGTCACAGCAGCTGAGATATCATGTGACAACAGTGAGCTAAATGTACTAAATGCATATGCTACATATTTGACCATGTGGGAAAAAAAATGTTTGCCCTGCCTTGCACGGGACAAACCTACACTGTATCTGCTTTAGTGTTTATTCTTAATTATTGCCACTACCATCAGATGCCACCAGCTGTGAGTAATTCCAGTCAGAGCTAAACACTTTTAGCTGCTTGAATGATAATTAAGAGTTAAGAGCATGAAGGATAGGCCTCAGGCCTGATTACTGGTAGAGCTTCTGAATTAAGAAATCACTTAAACAGAACCTGTCTGACAAAATGAAGTACTGGTAGACTAAACAAGCTCAAAAGCAGCAGGACAATAATCTAAAACACACCAGCAAGTTCACCTCTGAATGTCTCAAACAACCCCAAAATGAAGGTTTTGGAGTGGCCTAGACAAGGGCTGCACCTTAAATCTGATTGAGTTGCTTTGACATGACCTTAAACCATGCTCGAAAATCCTCCAGTGTGACTGAATTAAAACAATTCTGCAAAGACGAGAGGGCCAAAATTCCTCCAAAGTGATGTAAAAGACTGTAACTTTGTTTGATGATGGGAAACATTTTATTGTGCCAAATATTGCAGAAAAAGAAAACCCAATTAGGAAAGGAGTAAATAGTTTTTCACAGGACTACATATCTACACATGCACATAGTTTAAGCTCTTTTTTTACAATAATAATAATAAATAATAATAATTGTTGTTATCAACATACCGATCCCTCCTGAATATCCTGGGTAAATACCTCTTTGGAAACCACATGGCTATGGCACACATGAGCACCCATAATATGGCTAGCTCGTCCAGCATTTGGCCAAGAAAGCTGAGGGTGGCATGAAAATAAGTCGATCCAATACCTTGGAGAAAGGAAGAGACACAGAAGGACAGTGATAGATGTTTAAGTTTTGTATTCAAAGGGCAGGATAAATGAGACAGTCTGTGTTTTGTTACGTGCTCCCTCTCTCTTTTATAACATCAGAACATAACTGAGAATAGCAAACGTAGAGTTAAAATATTCCCCCTCTAAAACGACGTGTTCAAAACAATAACCGAAAAACGGAGCACAGTGGGAAGGCCACAATCATCACACATCGAACAGGACCGGCTGTTATCTACGATGGGAACTTTGAAAGCCGTTTTCAAGCTGCTAAACATGTGGGTTTCAAGTTATTGTGCAAATGTTTGCCAAATGTTTTATGAGGAAAGGCAGTCATTGTGTAACAGTGAATGTAAAGGCCTCTTTTGTTGGCCTTTAATTTGCAAAGTTATTTAGAAATGAAGCCTTGAAATGCTGCAGAGACATGCAGCAGTCACTTTCCCCTCCTTGTTTATCACGGTAGAACAGACTTTTTATTATCAGGTGCAACATTTCAGCAGACTTCTTATCAAATGTTGCTCCCACTCAGTTGTTACTAATCGTGAAAACCTGCCATGGTTCTCAACCTAGGCATGAGAATGAGCCATTCAACAAAAGACTTAAAGAAGCATTCATGTAAATGAATCAGCAGCTACTTCAATCAGTCAAGCAAAGAAAAAAATGGCTAACTGAGGAGTGTTAATTGGATATAACAGATATTTGCATAAAGATGAAATGATTAAAAAAAGCAAAAATAGCTCTTTTTTTTAAGACTGGTCCTTTTTTCCATTAAAACTAAAAGTAGAATCCAGGTTCTTTGTGACTTGACAGGATATGAATATGTTGCCTTCAGCTCAGTGAGAGGTAGGGCTGTGCGATATGACCAAAATCTCATATCCCGATATAAGAATTCTATCGTCCGATAACGATATAAATCACAAAAATGTAACATTTTCTGTCAATTCTGTGAATCTCTGGCAGCTCGTCTTGCCGGAAGTGTTTCTAGCTGCGCGTCATGTAGCTGGAGTCGAGTGTTTTAACCGATGTATGAAACTATACATTTTTAGACACAAGTTGTGAAGGCCGCCGTTTTCTTTGTGAGTATTTATTACACGGCGTGCTGCGGGGAAACGCCTGTTCTAACGTTTGAGTCTAAGGTCTATTTATTAGAACCTGGCGGCTCTTTTTTAATACTCATCTGTAAATAATCTGCTCTTTCACGTGATTCAGTTATTTTGAAAAGTCTCAACAGGATCTTGAGCTTTATTGTGAAAGGTTTATGTGGAACATAAACAAGCGGACACACGATGGTGTTACCGTCGTTGTTGCTAACCACAACGCATAAAAACAGGCGCTTGTCCGTCAGTAGTGTGGTTATATAAAATATAAGAGAAAGAGAGAACTTTAAGAAATTAATATAGCCACTACAGTGACCATCAGAACAATGAAAAAATATTGCCGTAAACAGTTTATTTTGCAACACCACGAAACAAACGATAGCGTAAAATGAATCGAACAGCCCTAGTGAGGAGTGTAATTTCTTAATTCAAAGCCTTAATTTACACGTTCTTATTTTTGATCTGCTGACAGGTCAAAATATGGATGCAAAGTAGCCAAACTATATTTGCACACACTGCTGAGGCTAAGGTGAAATAAAAAGGAGCTGGATGTTGTTTTTGAACTAGAAACTATAGGCTTGCTTTTCTATTCGAGTCAAAGTTCATCATAACTGCTGAAACAGAGGAAACGGCATGAAACCATGTGACCCGTTGCTGGCACTGGCTTTGTTTTAAAAAGCCTCCAGAATCAAAGAAAAGAAAATGGATGCAGTCCAAGATACACAGATAAGGATTTATGGTATGGCAACATGTATGGACCAAGAATGTTCAACTGTCTAAGAGGCTCCAACAAAGCCAGGAGACTGCGTTTATTTCCCTTTACATTGGACCACACATGGGCCACAGAGGAAAACACCCAGCTCGAGTTCTTTAAATCTGACAGTTATGCAAATCTTTTTCAACTACTTTTTTTTTCCGGACACCCACCAAGGTCACCTCCTTGGAACAGAGGTGGGGTTGCTCTCGGGTTATCTTTGCTGACAGGGCAATCCGAGCGTTTGCAAAACAGCATCGATGGGGAAAGGCTCTCTATTGAACTGTGTAGATGAAGAAGCACCATTAAAGGCCTAAATATTGAATGGGACATAATGAATTCAAAATCAATCTAAAGATGGTGATAGAGGCCACAGCTGAGAAACTGTGCACCCCAACAGTGCCACTGCAGTACAAGTGTATACAGATCACTCCTTTGGTCTAAAACCTGGAAACTAGTTCAAATTAAATGTCCATCGTAACTGCCTAGAGACCAAGTCGACATACTTTAACCTTCTGGTTTGTACTAGTTAACAGTGCAAACCCCTCAGATACTTTGCTTACTCTCATAAAAAATAAAGGAAAAAAATAATATTTTTTTGCTGTGAATAAAGTCCTACAGGAATACACAATTCTTTTTGAAATTGGTTTGTGTAAGGACTATTTACTCAGTCCCTTTACTTACACATTCATTTGACCCGTTTTGACAGCAGTAAAAATACCTCAAATGGCCTTATTTACCTTCAAATTTGATAACTTTTGGCATCTGCACAATGATAGTAACGATGATCAACTCAGTTCAAATATATTTAGATGAATATGGCTGTTACATTTTTGTGTCTTGGGTAAAACTTGACATGAGTGTGAGATATTGGATATTTTTTTCCATAAACAAATGTTGTAAAACCTAAACAAAAATTAATAAACAAAAATAACAAAACACTGTCTGCTCTCTAATACACAAAGTAAGGATCAGGCATACATTTATAAATGCCAAATACTATATGTATACTATGAAGAAGGTGAATATGAAGAGTATGTTAGGGTTAACAACTTAGCACTTAATCTAATGCAATCTGATGTAGCAGCCCAGCTATAAAGGCCTCCTTTATGAATCCTATAATGATCCTTTTCTTTTTACAGTCATAGCAGTGTTAGTGGCACTTATGTACTCAACTGAATTATGCTGATGTGCTTTTCTAGTGAGTCTCCTTATGTATGCAAAAAGTGCAGTGCACTACCTCTATCAACAAACCCACATATAAAGCCAAAAAATGGCAACGATCAAACAAGGAGCCCTGCAACAGATGGTCAGGCCCCCACGCAGATCCTTGATCTCAACATCTCAGAGTTTGAGATTAAGGAAGAGACAGACTAAACAACAGAAAACTGGCAAAACTTCCCAAGATGCTTGACAACTGGTGATCTGTATGACATCCACTATTTTATTTATTTATTTGAAGCCTCCCTATCTGACGCTTGCTTTATGTACCACGTGTATAGATGAGAAATGAAAAATAAATAAATAAAAATGAAGGGTTAAGAGAGGTCAGCAGCCAACTTACCGACCACAACTAGCAGTATCCATATGAGGTAAATCCCACTGTTGAAATGTTTTGCATATTGGCGGAACAGGCACATTAGTATCGGCGGCAAAACAAAAAACAAAATGTTGCTGATCTGAAATGATAAACAACAGAAAAGTCTTTGTCACTGATCCCGCAGCAAAGAGCCAGCAATGCCCGTCAAAAGTTGATCAGTGTGCGGGCCTCGGTGGCTGTGCAGAAACTGGCATGCAAAACCTGTAAACTGCTACTAACAATACATATCATGATGCTGAAGCTGAAAAGCAGCCAGAATGCTCAGCTAAGCAGTCGTTAACCTGGGAAGTAAATGGTAAATGGCCTGTATTTGTATAGCGCAAAGAAGCCATTAAACTACAAAAGAAAGAAAGGAAAGGGGAGTAAAACAAACAAGCAGTGCAACGGAGACAACAGCAAGAAGAGGAAATGCAGAAAGGCTTTGACTGTAAACAAAACTGTAATGTGCAAAATAGCGAGAAAAACAACAACAACAAGCCCCATTCTCAGAACCGACCGTGTTGTAAAACTCAGCGATGCTGGGGTAAATAAGGTAATTGCCTTCACACCAGTCCACCTCGGAGCTACCAGCCTGCAACTGGTCCCAAAACATCACATTAACGTTACTCATGTCTGAACTAGTTCTGTCGGATGGACAGCGCCGAGCAGACAGCACATAAAACAACCGAGGGGGGGAAAGTCGCTATCCGTCGGCTCGCTGGCTGCACGCTAGATCCTAACGTCCGAGTCGTGGCACGTATCGGCCACTCGAGCCTGTGACACACTGGGGAAATCGTTATGGAGCTGCATTTTGAGAACGTCCTTCTTCCACAAAGCCTCCTGCTCGTCGTGACGCTCTGCTTCGTCCACTGACAGCTGCTCAGTCCGCGACTCAAAGAGTGCTCAGGCTGCAAGAGAAGTCACTCCTGCCTGCTTCCTTCTTCGGTCAAACGTAGGTCAGGAAGGAAGAGTTTACTTATTTTTGTCACGGTAATTTAAAAAAAAAAAGAGTAGTGGGGGGGGGGGGGGGGAGATACTTAAAGTTTGTATGTTCAAGTCAGCAGTAGTCAAAGAATACTTTTTCCTTTCTTTCTTTCTTTCTTTCTTTCTTTTGTTTTTGCTGTCTCTAAAACAGAATTACAGTTAAGATCTCCAAATTTCGATTTTCTCGAGAATACTGAATGACAATAATACATTTCTACCCTTTTCCCTTCCATAAACAAATCGAGTTTTCCTTTTTTTCCTATTTTTTTAATTTTGACTTATTTCTATCTGTTTTGTTTTTTATTAGCAACAAGCTTCCATACCAAACTGAACCAAATCCACAGCTTTATTGTTCTTTAAAATAGACCAAAGTAAGAAAACAAAATAAAAAATACAATAAAATAACTAGTGTTTTCATGATATGCTATATTTTCTATATCTGTATGTTTTTTTGTGTAATTTTATGTAATGTGCCTGGAAATTAGACGTTTTGCTAAAATGTAATGTTTACATGTTGTATTTTCATCTACTAGTGTCCATTCATATGCGCTGTCCCTGTTAAATAAATAAAAATAACAGAATACTAACAAAAATGACATAAATATTACTTTATACATTTGGTGTGAAAGGTGGGTGATGTCTTTGTAAGACTTTAAAACTGATCTAAATACAGTTACAAATCCAAAATGTACACACATAATTTACTCAGTCAAAGCTATCAAAAGCTATGACTGAGTAAATTAGCAGGCCCTGTCCAACCTCTGTGCAATATGTTGACACTCCTGGTCTATTCTGTCTGCTCAATTTTGTGTGGGACAGCCCTATTATTGTGCACACTCATTAATAAATAGCTGGAAAAGAAACATGTGTAGTTGTAGCAGTAACCAGTGTGTTAAGTGGATGCGTTGTACAGGGAGATAGCCACAGGCAGGAAAGATTTCCTATGTCGTTCAGTGGTGCTTTTCGGTAATCTCAGTCTCTCACTGAACGAGCTCCTGTGACTGACCAGCATGTCATGGAGTGGGTGGGAGGTGTTATCCAACATTGTCTTTATCTTGGACAGCATCCGCTTCTCCGACACCACCTTGAGGGAGTCCAGCTCCATCCCCACAACAGTACTGGCCTTACGAATTAGTTTATTGAGTCTGTTGGCATCTGCTACCCTCAGCCTGCTCCCCCAGCATGCAACAGCATAGAGGATCGCACTGGCCACAACAGACTCATAGAAAATCCTCAGCATTTTCTGGCAGATGTTGAAGGACCTCAGTCGCCTCAAAAAATAGAGACGACTCTGGCCCTTCCTGTAAAGTGCTGTGGTGTTTTTAGCCCAGTCCAGTTTATTGTCAATGTGTACTCCAAGGTATTTATAGTCCTCCACAATGTCAACACTGACCCCCTGGATTGAGTGTTGACATTGTGGAGGACTATCTTGACTTGCCTTTAGATTGCACTTCTTTTAAAAAAAACAAAAAAACACCTTTGCTGTATTAATTGATAATATCAAGTTTTCAGTAAAGGGTAATAAAGGCCTGTCATCGCACAATAAAAATGAGTAACTTTGTTCAGAAGCTGCATGAACAGCTAACATAGCTTAATGCCTATTTTTATCAGTATTTTTCTAAGGGTGTTGTACAAGTGAGCAGTTAATTATGGTAGCCTTTATCAAACTGGCTACGTGTTTTTCAAAGAGATACAGTGTGTTTATTTTGAAGCTGATTAGGCCAGTATTCAAAGAATGTATCTCTCACCAGACTGGGATGGGAATGATCTTAATATCTCAGCTCCTTATGCACTCTCTGGCACCCTCTGGCCGACGCATGCTCCGTGGCTCAATAATAATCCCCAATGCAGATTGTTTTAAATCCACAACACCTCCACTGTAACTAGGATTAATACATATTCTATTCTTTGTCATTTATGTGTTATATATATATATATATATATTATATATAT